TGGAAGCGCTGCAGGGCCGGCTGGACACGCTGGCGGAGGCTCAGGGCCAGAGCGTCACTGCGCTGGAGGGCCTCCAGAGTTGGTGCGCCGGGGAGCTCGAGGGCCTGAGGAAGCCTCGCGACCACCATCACACAGCGCTCGTAGAGAGGCTCAACTATCTGGAGGAGTTCCTAGGCTACTCTGCCGGCATGCATGCGGAGCAGTTGGCCTCGGCACACGCCAAGCTGGGGCAGATCAGCGGGCGCTTGTCGGCATGCGAGGCAGACCACCCGCCCCCCGAAGCTCGCTCGGCGGCGCCTCAGGACGCGCCGTCAATGGGCGCCTCTCTGCGCCAGCGCATCGACCTCTTGGAGGACGTGGTCAGCACCCTCACGCAGGGGTGGCCAGGACCCGACCTGCCCCGCAGCAGGCCCGAACCGCCGCGCAGCGCTTCCGCCACCACGCGCCGCAGCCCCTCACTGGACGGCGGCGTAGACTCGGCGCAGACGGCTGCGCGGTACGCCTGGGCCGAGCCGACGCACGGCAGGCTCGAGCAGACGCGCCGCCTCGCCAGCGCACGGCACCGCAGCGTGCCCTCCTCGCGCGGGCGCGGCGACCCCGCCCGCCCCTTGGGCGGCGGCGACTCGCTCGGGGTTGCGTGGGATCCGTCCGCTGCTGCGCCATCGGCGCTGGCGGCGCCCAGGCCGCGTGGTGACTCCGTGGCGACGCCAGAGAAAGTTGCTCGCAGCGCCGCCCATCGCGGCTCCGTGCACGAGCGCCTCAAGTTCTTCGAGGGTCTCTCCAGCACCCCGCAGCGGACCCCCTGCACGCTGGACCGCGTGTCGGTGAGCTACCGCCCGTCCAGCATGCCACGCAGCTGGCTGGGCCGCGCCCCGCGGTGATCTTGCGGGAGGACGCTTCCTTTGAGTGGCCAGCCTCCTCCCCACACTCCTTTTCTCCAGGCCTCCCAGCTGGGGTCCCAATAGATGGGCTCGGAGGATCGCGCCGCATCGCCGATGCGTCGGCGATACATGGCGATGCATCGGCGATGCACCGACGACGCCAGCGCGGAGAAAGTCGGGCTCCACATCGAGCCGCATCGCCGATACATCGGCGATGCGGCCCGATTTTTCGACCCCGTCCACTCAGACCCCGTGTGGGGAGGCCCGGAGCCAACCTCTTCGTCTGCCCACTGCAGTGTGATCCGTGATCGGTCGGGGTTCGCCTCGCCCCGCACCGCTCTCTCGGCGCACTGCGGGCACAGCGACCGACGCGGCAGTGCGCCGCTCCTTTGGAATTTGCGCGGGTGTCCCGGCGTTCGACGCGTTCGACCGGGTCCGCGCTGAGGTGGTGCCCACGGACGCCGCGTGGACCACATTCTGCGGCCGCTCGCGAACCCCATCCCTGCGGGTGGGTGTTGGACACCCCTGCTTGGGTTCACTTGGCCTCGAGACATACGGGGCGCGAAAACGACCACAGCCACTGCTTTTCTTTTGCTGTCGCCTTCCAGCCCGCAGAAACAACGCAGTGGTTGTGGTCATTTTCGCTGAGCTTGGCACCAGGGAAATGGCCACAACCACTGCTTCTTTTTCGGCCGGCTGGAAGGCGGCGCAAACAAGAAGCAGTGGCTGTGGTCATTTTCCCGTCCCGCAAGACACAATCCGGATTCCGAGGCCAAGCCGCTCTGTGGGATCTTCCAAACTCCTTGCCCTGCGCGGCCGGGGCTCGCCTGCGGCTGCCCATATCTACATAGCACCGGGCGTCTCGGCGCCGTGCGCACCCCGCCCCTTTCTAGCCCCTCCCACGCCAAAGAGGGCAGGCCTCGAGAGGCAGACGATCGGGCCTGGCAGCGAGCGCGGCTAGAAACGAGCGGGGTGCGGGCGAGCGCTCCCGCCCGCCGGGGGGGGGCGGACGACCTCGCCCTGCAGCGAGCGAACGGCCATCACGCCGCCTCCTGGGGCAGGGTGCGCCCTGTAGGGCCCGCCGGGCTTCCCCGCGGCCGACGCACGCGGGGAGCGCGCGCGGGAGCCGGCCGGGTTGGCCGTGCCAGAAGGGATGCTCTCTCCTCTCCCCCCCATGCAGGGACCCCGCCCCTTCCCCCCCTAAAAATGCCTCTTCTCGGAGGAGGACCAGGCATCCATGCCGCTGCCCTTCGCTCGTTTTCTCTGTCTTGGGCCTCCTGGGAGGCCCTCGTCGTCACCGCCGGATTCGCCCCGAAATCCTGGTCGGAACGCACCCCAGGAGAGGTCCAGGGATTGCAGTGGAATCCACAGTAAGCACGGGTAACCTGTCTACGGGCACCCTTGCGTCCTTAGATTTATTCGGCAGTGCGCCGCTAGAAAAGCTTCAACTGGGGCGTCCAAGGACCGTCCACGGGTCTTGCGTCCTTACAGCGCGTCCTTGCTACAGATTTTGACTACTGTGGTATCTCCATCTTCCCCTCCCTCAACCTCCACGTCACGCTGCTCTCCCTGCTCCTCTCTGCAATGACACGTGCTGGGTGCCGCCCTCCTCTCTTTCTCCCCCGTCTCCGTCCAGAAGATACCCCGCCCTCTCCGCGTGCTGTTTTTGTACCCCCGATTTCGCGAGCTGGTCTTATGAAGTGTTTTTCGATCCCATCGTTCTCGGTCCGTCAAGATGGTGCTCTCGCTGAAGCGCTGGCCTCATGTCCGCCCGTCAAGATCGGGCTCCCGCTGCAGCGCTGGTTTCGTTTCCGCGTTTTCGGTGCTCCCGACTGGTACTCCCGCGGCAGCGCTGGCTGCATTTCCCCGTTTGCGGTCCTTCAAAATGTGGCCCCCGCTGAGGCACGGGCCACATCTCCAAATTGTAGGTCGTCCAGTATGGTGTTCTGGCTGCACCGTTCATGCAGCCAAGGCGTACACTGCAATGATATGTTATGCATCGCCATGCGATTACATCCCCTGCTCTGCAAAGCTGTGATATGCAGTGCTGGGCTGCGCAGTACCGTAAGATGCTAGATTGTCTTGTGCCATACCAGGGCATGCCTTGCACTGCAATGTTGTGTACCTCCATGCGCTGCCATGGCTTGCTCTGCTGTGCTATGATATGCAATGTTTGACACAATGCCACACTATTCTGGGCCACGCTACGCTTTGCCGTGCTCTCCTACGCTGTGCTATGCCATGCTATACTTCGAATACCTTTTGGGGATCATTTTCTCTGTGGCATACGACTGTGCGAATAGAGAGGGGCTCTGCGCCGCGACAGTAAGGGACGGGAGGTATGGTGGTTGACGCCAGGAACGGCCAGAGTGCGCCCAGCTTGCCCCCCATTCCCACATCTCTCCCCCTCCTCTTCTTTATCTCCATTCTCTTCTCGAACCTCGTACGTACACATTTCAGTTTTGTTGTTTCTCTTGCCCCATCTTCTTCACACTTACAGTCAACCCGCATAGTAAGGATGAGCGACTTTCCAAGGGTACCCTTGCGTCCTTCCCCTTCGGTCCGTCCTTGGCCGCTTTCGCTGGCCGCGCCCCGCTGGCAAAGTGTCGACATGACCTTCCAAGGTCCTTGCATTCTTATCGTGCGTCCTTATTCAAGTGGCTTACGTCATTCAACCGACCCCCACAAGGAATGAGTGTTCGAGACGGTCGTTGAAGTTCTATCTTGAGCCAGGAGCCTTTAGATGAATCTGAGGGTCTCTTGGGACGCCTCTCTGGGGCCTCTTGGAGCACCCTCGGGGGCATTGCGGGAGGCTTTTTTGGTCCTTCGGAAGGCTTCTTGGGGGCCTCTTTGGGGCCCTCCTGGGGGCCTCTTGGGGCCTGTTGCGTCCTTGCTCTAGGGGTGGACCGTACCCCATCTTCTTCACTCTTACAGTGGAGGCCCATGCCAAGACAGACCCTGCTTGCCTCCAGGGTGCCCTGGGTTTCTTGGGTTTCGATGATTTTGCTATGGAAAGCGTGACGTTCCCACACCAAACATCCACGGACGTCTTGGGGTCTCAGGGCTGGGTTTCTCGTGGAAAGTTTTTTCATGGTTGGGCCCCTACGGTACTCACCGTTCGCAGTACTCTCCCCCCCTCCCTGGGATCCCGTGCGAGCGGGGCGCCGTCCCTCCCGCACACTTTTGTTGCTGCCCTTCCACGCGTAGGCTTTTTTTGCAGCCTGATTGAGCACATTTGCTTCCGTCATTATCGCTTTCTCAGGAGGGGGAATAACACACAGACGCAATTCATCGTCGATTCCTAGGAACGTATGGGAAACATGGGAAGAGTGTTTTTTGGGGGGGAAGGCGACAACCCAGAAACTACGGGAACACATGGGGAATCCTGGGATTTGTGTCTATTTATTCGTGTGTCCCAGGGCCCCTTCAGCTTCGTTGCCCTGAAAAAATGCAGGGGGCTTGAACAAGCTTCTGACCCGTGTTGTTTTTTTTGTTCTCCATGTGCAGGCTCTTTTTGTTGTTGCAATATTTGCAGACATTGGTGCTTTCGAAGTGGTGTCCCCACCGCATGGTCGCCAGGGTCGGCCTGGCCTAACCGACCCCTCAGCAAAACGTCCCCTTCCGTGACGTTCCCCTCGCCTCGTCTCCTCCCCCCCCCCGGGCGTATGTGTGCGGCCAGAAGGAAAGTTTGACAGGTGAGGGTGGTGTCACGCCACGGGAGGGTTTGCCGGGGGTCGGCTGGGCCGTGCCCGACGTTTGCCTCGTCTCAGGATCTGCGCTCTCCCCGCGTCGTTCAGACTGTCGCTCTCGCCCCAAGCGCGGGCCACACTTCTGGATCTGCGTCCTTCCTCGGCGTTGCCGCCCCCCTCTTCTCCCCTCCGCCGCTCTCCCCTGGTCCTGCTGCTCCTCCCGCCCCGCGTTCTGCTCCTGCTGGTGCTGCTGTTCCTCCTCCGCCGCTCCCTCCTGCTCATCCGCCTGCTCATCCATCTCCTCTCCCCCCTCCTCCAATGTACACAGCTTCCTTTTCGAATTGCGTATAGCACGACGGGGTCATTTAGGATTTTTCCAGCTCCGCGATGGTACTCGCTGGCGGACAGAAACAGAAACAAAGTATCGCAGTGGGAAGGGGTTGCTAGGATATCAGATATGGCGCGAACCCATCTAGCTTGTCTCCTCCCTCTCGCCTCCCTCTTCTATCTGAATTGTCTCTTCCCTCTGGCCTCATCCATCCTCCCTATTCCTTCTCTCTCTTCCCTCTTCCCTCCTGCCTAGTCCCTCTTCCCCTCCACCTCCCTTTTCCCTCCTCCCTCTTGCCTCTTCCTTCCTCATCCTCTCCTCTCCTCTCTTCTCTTTCCTCCCGCCTTCTTCGGCCACCTCCGCCGACAATGTGCGCAGCTCCTTTCTTCGATTGCGCACAGCACGATGGTCGGCGCAACGGCAGGGATGGGCGGGAGGGGCAGGATGTCAGACATGGCGTGAGCACACCTGGCTTGCGCCTCTCTTCTCTCCTCCCTCCTCTTCATCCTCTCACTCCTTTGGCTCCTCCTTCCTTCCCCCCCCATCTTCCTCCCCCCATAGGAGGGGGAGGAGGAGGAGGAGGAGGAGGAGGAGGGGGAGGAGGAGGAGGAGGAGGAGGTCCTCTACCCGTCTTCCTCCCCCCCTATCTTCCTCCTCTCTCCTCGCTTCTCGCTCCCTCCTCCCCCTCGTCTCGGGGCTACCCTGGGGGCCCTCGTCTCGGGCGCCCTCCGCGGACCAGCCTCCGCACTCCCCCTGTGGCGGCCTCCTGGGCCAAACCCTACTGGGGCCGCCATGCCGGGTCGAGGAGCGAAGAGAAGCGTTTCGGGCATCGGGCCTCGGGGATCAAGGATCCAGGTTCGAGGATCGAGCATCGAGCATCGGGGATCGAGGATCGAGGATCCAGGTTCGAGGATCTTCGAGCTGGGCGTTTTCGTTCGATCTCGGGCCCTGTGACCCTCGCGGATCGATCCGGCTCGAAGAGTGGCGCGCAGACATCGGGTCCGGGGCTCCGGCTGTGATTTTTTACGATGTTGGGCCGCCTCCCCAGACATGCCCGCGTCGCGAGACATCACGACGGGAGTTTTTTGGCCTTTTCCAGCTTCCAGGGGGCCCTCGCCGGCCCCCGGTATTGTCAGAAACGACTCGGGATGAAAAACCGACCCTGAGGGGTCGGGTCGAGACTTCAGGGGGCCCCGTGTCGAAAAAGCCAAGACATCGGATCTCTGAGTGGGGGCCATCTGGCAGCCATTCTGGAGACATCTCAGAGCCATCTTGCAGTTCCGCGGCCTGTGCCGGCGTAGTGCCCGAGTCCAGGCCTCTTGGGTAGGACCGGAGCAGATGGGGTCGGAGGATCGCGCCGCATCGCCGACACGTCGGCGATGCGGCTCGATGTGGGGAGCCCGATTTTCTCCACGCCGGCGGCGGTGATGCCTCGCCGACGTCGCAGCTACGTCGACGATGCATCGGCGATGCGGCGCGATCCTCCGACCACGTCTGCTCGGACCCCATCTGCGAGGCCTCTGTCTGAGGGGCCGAGCCCGGGCCATCTTGTCGGCCCACCTGGCAGCCATCCTGGAGACGTCCTGGAGCCATCCCCCGGGACGGGGCCGGTGCAGTGCGCCTGAGGCCCTTTATAGCTGCCTTCCGCATCTGCTCTCGGGATGGCCGCGGCCGCGCGACAGTCTCGCTTCGCTCCCGTTGGGGGGCCCGTCGTGCATGTGAGGGGGCAGCGACGGGGGGGGGGTCCTCGTGGGCTGGCGGCCTGGCTCTGAGCGTGCTCAGTTTGCTCGGTCTGCCCCTGGGCGGGTGGCGCACGTGTAGAACAGCAAAACATTCGAAGACAGGCGGGCGCCCCAGGCATCCCGAGCATGAGGGAAGTTGATGAGGCGATGCTGGGCTCAGGAAACGAATGGGGGGCTGTGTCGGGGGCGTCTAAGAGGGGGGTGAGGACTACGGGCGCGTGGATGTCATGGCCAGGGTCGTGGATTTCCTCAGATTTCATGGCCCCCTCGTCTTCTTTCAACATGTTCCCTTGCCCCCCTTCGTGCGCGCACATGCCTCGGGTCACGATGCGCGCTCCCCATCTTCCCCTCCGCCTGGCCCCCCTTTTTCGGCATGGGGCTGCCGGGGGTTCAAGGATGAAGGCGACGGGAGGAGAAGGAGGAGGAGGAGGAGGGGGAGAAGG